GCAACAAAGTGTTTGATTTATTACTGTTATTAGCATGAGGCAGCCCTCGGTAAGCAGATCCCACTATCACTGCTATGACCCCGGACCTCGGGCAAGTTAGGCTTTTCCTGAAATGATTTCTAAAGCACTTAATTACTTTCTTGAGTGTCAAAGGTTGAATTTCCTTTTTTCAGTATCAAATAAGACAAATTTTATTTTATATTTTATTTATATATTTTATATATATTTATATATGTGTGTGTATGTATATATGTATGTAGACATATATGTATGTGTATACACACACACACACACACGCACACACACACACACACGCTGTTGCTGCTGCTGTTGTGTTTTAGTTGCTTGTCCCAGTTACATCTGTGACCCTGTGCAGACAGAGTGAAGCTTTAGTGTGTTAGGTTGGGCTCAGTAGGCACAGGGTTGTGAATGGTGTAAGGAGAACTGAAAGCCAGAAATTTTAAAAATTTGTTTATTTTTGTCTCTGAAGCAGGATCTTATCTCAGTATATCGCCCTGGATGGCCTGGAATTCTCCATGTAGACTAGGCTGGTTTTGAACTCACAGAGATCCGTCTACCTCTGCCTCCAACTGCTGAGATCAAAGTGTGCACCACCGTGCACTCTCTCTCTCTCTCTCTCTCTCTATATATATATATATATATATATAGAGAGAGAGAGAGAGAGAGATTTGAGGCTGGCCTCATATTCAGAAAGATCCATCTGCCCTCTGCTTCCAGAGTACTGAGATTAAAGGCGTGTGCCACTTTGCCTAGCCATAATTTACATTTCTGCACGAATAGTGAGAATGAATCAATCAAAAATCCAAGCATAAAACATTAAAGAATAAAATTTTAGAAAATAACACAAGCAAATTTGCTTTCAGTCATAGATGAGAAAGATGTCTTAAGACACAAAACCCAGAAGTTTTTCAATGAAATTTCTGAGTAAACATTTCCACAGGATATTTAAAAACCATATGGATTAAAATATCATTTAAAAATCTGATAAATAGCACGACGGGACAGCATTTTAACAAGCATCACTGACAGGGGTTTAATTTCTTAGCTTATAGAAAGTGTGTGTGTCTCATTATCGTGGCAAACTCCTGACTTCTGAGGAAAGGGTTTATTTTGGCTCACAGTCCGTCCTCTTGTCGGGACGGAGAACGCATGGCCTCAGGAACACTGCGTAGCTGGTTGCATGGTGTCCACACCCAGCAAGCAGAAAGCTATGGATACTGGTGTGTGGCTCATTTTTTCCTTCTTCAGTAGGTCCAAGACCCTGACACATAGAGTTATGACATAAAACGCTCCTGTTCTTCAGAAAGGCAAATGTGTCAAAGGCGTCGGCCACTATTGCTGCTTCAGGGCCAGGGGTAAGGAAACTCAGCCAGAGCACTGACAAACTACAGACCAACACAGGCTCTTGGAAGCCGAATGGAAATAGACGCAGATACACACATACATACATACACACACACACACACACACACACACACACATACAACCACTTCATGATCCAAGGGTAAATTCTACTATTTTGAAATTCATGTTACTGATAACTTCAAAAGTTTTCTAAGAATCACGCACACGCGCCCTCCCCTTCAGCTGGAAACACCAACACGCTAACATTAGGGAAATGGGGGGGGGGGGGGCTGAAAACAGCCAATGTGTTCATCAAGAAGGGGTGGTTAAAGATCAATTCATACGACTGAAAGCAGAGAACACCCAGGATACAGTGCTAATTTTAGAGACTGAAAAAGATGGCTCACAAAATGTGTGCAGTATGATTCTACAGTCTAATTAAAAAGAGATGCATTGAGGGAAAAAGTTGATAGCACTGATGCTTTCCAGATATTTATATATTTTTTCTAAGGGCACATACGTCAGTTTTACACTTAGAAAAAAAAATCCAACTAGAAAAAGAAAACCCAATTTTCTCCAGAAGAGACAATCTGTTCCTGTGTATTCTATATTCCAGAACAGGCACCTCTGAACATCTGTCTCAAAGATCATACCTTTAAAAAAAATAGCAATTAAGTATAACTCCGAAAGTAGTGCTCTGTTGGGATTTGCCCGTAGGGAAAGGCTACACACCCACACGTTCTAATCCATTCCGATAGCTAGCTCTATTTGCATAGTTCGTGCATCAGCTACTGTCACCTACATTGCTTAATCCGAGCAACCGTATAAATAGATCTGGAGGGTGAGTGCTCTGGCTATCAGCAAGTGCTGACAGCAGGAGCGCACATTATCCAAGACCAGCTATCCCCTGTCCCTGCCGAGGTGAGCGCCACACCAGTCTACTAGAATATACGCTCTCTGTGGTTCAGGGGAGTGGGGGGAGAACAGGACCTTTTCTAAGCTCGCTATCAATTCTGATATAAAAAGATAAAGGACTCGTTATTGAATAAAGTGGTTTGGCTTTCAGAATGAGATTTGAACATAGTTCTGGATTACAGAGTTTAGATTTGTAGTTATGATAATGATGCTGACTTTCTAGGCTGATGACTACATCATAAACATTTATTTCTTAGTTTCTTATCTCGTTCAACCATGCAAGCAAATGGTTCTGTAGAACAAAGGTTTTCCACAGGTATTTGCTCAAGCTAGTCCATGGAAGTCAGGAAGGGAGGCGAAGGTTATGATAGCCACTGGGAATAGAGAAGAGCAAAGCCGGGCACAATGTTTCATACATACAGTGTCTTTACTAAGATAACATGAATTCTAATTCTCCAAGAAGACAGGCTATAGGCGGTAGCAAACTGATTTATTTAAATGGCAATTTTTATGACCAGAAAACATTGTTTCATTCATGTACCCTTGGGTGAAAGAGCAAACAAAACCCATCACTGTTTTTGAAGCTGTTCAGAAGGGTGATGTTCAGTCTGCCCATGCTACCTCAATTCCTACTGGTCCGGGCTACTATTTAAACTATTTCCTGTCAACTGAAAATCTAACCTTAATATGTGGACCTGACCTCAATTATCCCATGCATAAGGGTTAAGGATTAACTATTCTGTAAAAGTTACCGCTCTGTTTTAAAGGAAATCAATTCTCCTAAACTGGCAAAGGTGACTTACAGCTCAGGAGCATGGATGCCGGTTACCCTAAACGACGCATTCCTAAGCAAAAGTGGTTCCATGAATGTTTGCAGGCCACAAACAAAAGCAATCATAAGCCGATACATTCAATAGCTGCCTTAGTCATAAGTAACATAGTTAACAAACAGTAGACACAGAAAAATGAGGAAATATTTCTTGTAGGTTTGATATGTTATCTCAGAGTTTGTTAGCTTCGTGCTAAGCATAAACAGCACATTCTGAGGGCATCAAATCAGATGCCATTATTATTATTATTATTTTAAAAAGTGACTTCTTGCACAAAGAGTCTAAGAAAGCCCGAGATAATTTTGACTCTTAATCTTACACCTCTCCACAACCACAATATTTTACTCAGTCAATCCTTGTATGAAGAGTGTGTGGAGTAACTCACACACACACACACACACACACACACACACACACACACACGCTTCCACAGAGAACTCCACCGTATGCTCACATCTTCAAAAATTTATTATTTCCATTTCAAAGAAGCTGGGTATTTGCTTTGAGTATAAGAAGGGCAGACTGTTTAAAACAAAATTCCAAGTTCTGACTCAACCCCGACCCCTCCCCGCAGTTATTAACTAATGCAGTTGTTGAATGTATCGGCTTTAAGACTTCCTTCGTCTGTTGCCTGCAAACCTTCATGTAACCACACCTTCACTGGGGAATGGATCCTTTTGAATAACCTGAATCCATGCTTCTGAGCCAGGAACAGTCATCATTGCTGGCTCAGAATAAATTATTTCCTTAAATTTAGGATTGTAACTTTTATAGGGTAGTTAATTTTTAATCCATCTGAACAGGAAAAGGAGATAGGATGACAATGAAGGGAGGGAATAGACAACATTTTGAGTTTCGTGGGATTTATTTTATACAGGATAAGATAAAGATTTCTATTTTCATCCTTCTACATGTAGATATTCAGTTTTCCCAGTAAAAGTGTTAAAGGCTGTATTTTTCCAATATACGTTTTTGATACGTCCGTCAAGAACTAGATGGTTCTATTTGCCTGAATAATAATATAAACATATTTTTACTTTTTACAAAATTTAGAAAGAAAAAAAGACAACATGTTAAGATTGAAACAATGTAAAGAAGATAACAAGAGATTTAAAACTCAAATATAAAAGAAGTAGATAAAATTAGAAGAGGAATAAAAAATAAAAATTCAAAATAATAAATAATTGTTTAAAATGAAAGGAAAATGAAAAGGGGGGCAGAAGTACTTTCCCAAGACTGTGTGGGGAGGGTCGTGGTTTTGCGTTTACTCCCGCTAAGCAGGCTGGCATTACGTGAGGCCAGTGGAGGGCAAGTCATCTGCATCAGGGCTATGCTTAAGCTAGACTCTAATAAAAGTCTAGAGGCTTTCTTCCTTTGCATTTGTGGGGTCTTTGCACCCCACGCTGATCTCTAGGTCCTGTAGACTGGGCAGGTTCCCATTCACTCCAGGGAACCTCGGTCTGCATTCCTCGATATGGCAAAGTTCACCTGGTTTACCTGATCGTGATTGTTGTGAGGGCAATCAATCTGCCTTGGTTTATCGGAAACCTGCAGCTGCCGGCTTGGAGGCCTGTCTCGGCAGACAACCTCAGGCTACAGGTCACAATCCTCGCCACAAGAGGGCGGGACTTCTGATCCTGGGCTCCGGGTTACTGGCACTTCATAGTGGATCTGCCATCCCCTCTCCCTACGGGGTTTTCTCCTGGACAGTCACCATGGCAGTGTTCCCAGGCACCCTGACTGGTCACCTGCCAGTGTTTTCTATTCTCTAGGGTTACTCGGTCTCAACAGTAGGCCCCCTTTGAAGTTAGCTCCTGTTCGCAAGGCTCTAAGTTACCGGGAGTGAGGAAATGGTTCCTTACCGCTAGTCAGCAGTGAGAGAGGACTCACCTCGGACCAAATTCCTGCCCTGGATTTAAGGCTTGTGAGAACTGTGTTGTCAATCCTGGGCTTCTCCCCCGATGCTACCTCCGCTCCTCTGTTCTCACAGTGGCCACCCAAACCCAGGCTAACCGCGTGATTGCTGTTTCCCTCCCTCTTGACTCCTCCCAGCCCCCTCCCCATCCTCCACCCGTGCAGGGAGCGGGTTTTGTACTGCTTCCTATTTCTCCGCCTTGTCTTTTTGTTTGTCCAAGTTTTTTAGCTACCCATCCCCCTTGAGTACCAGTGATCTTTCTCTCTGTCTCCTTGGAATATAGTCTCTCCCTTGTCACCCCGATCTTCTTACTTGGGAGTGCGCAGAGTATCAGCAATCTTACTCCCTTAATTTGTTCTTGAGAAATGAAGCTTACTCTTGCTCACCACCGTGACTCTTTGGAATATTGAGTGGGTGCCAGATCTGATAGGCAGAAACTCCGAGGTGGCTATAATGCTTTGCAGCAACCTCATTAATCTTTTCTGCCATGATATGTTTCATGGTCATTATGACTCTCCTGGCCTCATATCTGGAGTCATGATTCTTTTAAGTGGAGAAAATATTTAGAAAATAAGTTATGTATACACACGGCTGGGCATTCCTTTAATACTGACTCAAATTTAACATTACAAGAGTTTTATGTATTTGTGTTTCTTTTCCCCTACAGTGAAAATCAAGCAACATTCGTATGACTACATTATTTTCTTGCTATGTACTACAACAAAACAACCCTAAGGTTTCAGTATAAATATTGCCACTAACAATAAGTCTACTCAGCTTGAGATTTTTTTCTGTGCTTTTTTTTAAATTATTATCCTATGACTTAGATTCTAGCACAAGTGCACAGCCAGAATGCTACGCTCAAATTTCCTTGTTTACTTTTTCTGTATAACTTTTTTTCTGTATAACTTTTTCTGTATAAGGATTTTATGTCGAATTAGCCAAGACTGTTTCTGGTGATTTCAGGGACATAGAGCTGGACTAATGTTATATTTTAATTCCACAGAAATTTGAAAAATAAGACCTAAAATGAAATATTCAACCTCCAAAATTTCCCCAGCCAAGCTGAACAACGCAACAGGCAAATCCCTGGTAAAAACTCGTAAGTTACCAAGTAAGAGCGTCCGCATTCCTGTTTTACGCACTACTGGAAATCTATCGTCAAACACTTCCTATGCCAATGTCCAGACATGCCACCTTACCAAAACACCTAAGAATGTAAGAACTGACAGGAAAAAAAGGTGGCTCCTGAGGATACAGAAGCCTTGTGTTTGAAGAGTTTATGTCACTGCTATTACTGGGTACAGCACAAGACAGTGCTAGCTTAGATCATTCCAATTTGACTTAGTGAAATATGGGGTGGGTTTTTTTTTGGTATCAATCCACCTCACACTTCTCACAGCTCCTGCCATCAAAAACTAAAATGTTTGGAATTTGATGAAAGAGAAATGAAGTTAAATTATAGGTACACCTCTGACGAGAAGGGGTTAGAAGGATCCTTGAGTCTTAAAATCAACAACACAGGAAGGAATCATTAATATTTGCAGCATGCTTTTTATACTGGAACAGCAACATCAAGAAGGCTAACAGAGCTCTGGTGGCCTGGGAGCAAACTAGAGAGTGTTGAAGAATGGCCTAACGAGAAAGCAATGCCCCCTTCTGTTCTCCCCATGGCTCTGAACTATCCACACATTTCTTTGGTAATCGGGATTTTAAAAAACAGTTTGACAATGGTTTCTGAATGGTCAGGAAATCCCAATTTAATTGAGTCTTTCATTTGTAGTTATGTGCAGAAATAGTGACTCAGTAGAAATGACCCGATGTTTCCAGTTTTCCTCATATTAAAGAATGTGCTGTCTTAGTATCCAGAAAATGAGGCCCTTCATAAGACACTGCATTACAGAGTAGACATGCCAGAACTTCTGGCATTAGTGCCAGAGCTCACTTTGAATAGTGAGATCTTACAACTCACATGTTATGGCCTTTATTACAACCTGACCCTGAAAGACTATTTATGATGTCCAAGACACAAATGAGATTTTCTACAGATTTAAATTTTTCTTTGGCTAAGCAAAATGAAGATTACTGAATAACTGACTGATTTTTGTTGTTGTTGTTTTTAGTTCAGTTGATAGAATTTGTATTTGGTTATTCCTAGGCTACAGTGCAGATTCCACCCTAGACAAATAAGACTCTACGTAGCTCAGACTTATCTGGGAATTCCCGACCCTCCTCCTTTAACCTCTTGAGTGCTAGAACTAGAGATGTGACCACATCTGGCCTGTGGTCATTTTTTTTTGTCAGTGGAGGTGAAACCTAATGAAGAGCTTTGTTATTAAACATACTGCATTAATTATTTTTATGTCTCTATGGCCAAAAGCTTACAGACGTGACTTCAAGGCAGTGATTCGTTTTGCTTCATGTCTTAGAATGTACAGTCCATCGTAATATGGATGGCAGCTGGATCAGTTTGATCTTTGGCAGTCATAGCTTGCAGCAGCTTCTCCTATGGCACCAGCCAGGAGGAGGAAACTGAAGGACCAGGCTATAGTCTTCTGAGACTGGTCCCTATGGTGTAGGTACATCAGCAGGTCTCCTACACCCAAAGGTTCTGTAACCTCCCAGTGTCACCAGGGAGGACCAAATGTTCAAGAACGAGAGTATGTGGGGGCATTGAACACACTCCTTAACAGAACTCATTAGCCATGTAACCTTGGACAGTGTTGTGATTCCTAAAAGTCTGTAAAACTATGATAAAATACTTTGCAAGATTATTATGAGTGGCTAAGTTAAAAGGCATATGAAGTAAAATATAGCAGAGCGATGGCCTAGTGCTGATTCTTGGATAAGGGCAGTTGTTTTAGTATCAACACCCTTTACAGTTTTCAGTCATCCTCCAAAAACTATTAAAAGTTTATTCTAGATGAGCAGAAAAACAGTTCCAAACTATAAGGATGTCAACAGTCCCCTCAGTTAGGCAACGGCTGATGCCTACTGAATGTAGAGCTATGATCCCTCAAATGGCATTCTGAAAACAACAATAAAAATATTTCTAAAGACCTAAATGTTTCGACAACTCATTTGGGAGCAGGATACAACCCCAGCTATTGTCTGTTAAATCCCAAGATCTGTGATGGTTAATTTCAAATGTCAACTTGATGGCATTACTGAGGCATATCTTTGGGTATGCCTAGGACAGCATTTTCCAGAAAGGATTAATTTTGACCCACCCTGAAAATGGACAGCTGCAACATCTCATGGTCCAGATCCAGAACCAATGAAAAAAGATCCAGATAAAGACAGCTAAACAGCAGCGTTTTCCATTCTCCATGTGAGCAGGTAGCCTCGCGTTGCCTCTTTCCCTTTACAAAGGATCTGAAACTTGAGCAAAACGAGCCCTTTCTCCTCTTAGTTGCTTCTTGTCAAAAATTTGATCACAATAACGAGAAAAGTAACGAATACAAGACTTCATTTCATTTTGCCTACCATATCCTATGATTCACTATAAGATTAGTTGAGGCGGCACTGGTGCTTCTCCGCTCTCTGTTGGAGGTGCTGGGTATATTTATAGGATATAACCTACATAAATCTACACTGTTTCTCTATTGTTAGAATCCCAACAGAAGACCAGAGAAATCTGCCACGTCTACCACATGAAGCTCCGTTCTGGCCTCATTATAAGAAAGGAGGCCTGTTACTTTGAGAAAGAATCCACCAAAAAGTATTTGCAAAAATCACGTAAGTTCATTCCTGAACAGACCGATGGGCACCTAGCAGCTTTTACTTTCCACATTTATACATACAGTTGTTTTCCTCACCCAGTTCTCCTTGAGGAAAACAATAAAGATGCCAGGCACCGTGTGGGCCGGTTTTAGAGAGGGGGTTTTAGTGACATGGGAGAAATGGATACAATTATGAGTGAAAACAGTTGATACAAGATTTTAAATAAGAACGTAATCACTTGGGGTGATATTTTTACTACGGAGGAAGTAAGGAAAATGGTTCACAGTGGCTGTTTTGAGTGTTGCACGCGTGTGAGTAGTTTTCTTCCTCTTGGTGTGCCCTGCTGAAATATGACTGGAAAAATGGTTTTAACATGAAGACCTCAGCATGAAGGAGGTACTGATCCCATTAGACCATTGGGTGACCACCAACCTGGGATCACTTACCGCGGCCGCCATATTGCCCAAGCAAAAGGATGACGTCTTTGCAGAATGAAGAAGGATGGCTCACCCCGACTCCTACTGTTGTCTTGCAGGTAGAAAGCAGCATGAAGGGCACTCCTCTGCTGCTGTGAAGAACAACCGGTCTGGTCCAGTCGGTGCGAGAGGTCCCAGTTTTAAAGCAAGTGCCGAACCACGTCGTAGCATAGAGAGTACCAACGGTGTGTCTGGCCACAGAGGCCGTGTGGGGGTGAGGTGTGAGCTAGCACATGGGGCCTCGGCAAGTGCTACCCAGAAACTTGTTTCCTGTTCGTGTGCCGGCTCAGTGGCATTCAAACTGGGTGCCGCGTAGCTGTGCCCGTGCCTTCTCTGGTTAGCGCTCCACTAATATTTTAGAATATTTGCTGTAGCTTGCGATCGTGTCCACATTCATCCTGCTCGAGGAATTATCCTTTGAGAGGAAAAAAAAAACTACATTAGTCCCCAAATTTCAAAATGTTCACCATAAAAGAGGATAAAGAACTATTATCTTTTAAAGTACCGTTTTATACGATATGGCTTGAAGAGTAGCTTCGTCTTGAGTTTTTACCATTTGTGCAAAGTTCCAAATAAAATGGCGCTAATCGAAAACAGAAGAGAGTCCAGGAAATGTGGGTTAGTGGTAGAACACTTGCCTCGCGTGCAGGGCTCTGCGTTTAATCTCTACCAATGTGGGAGAAAAATAAAAGTGACTGCTGAGCATAGTGGCATGTGCCTTTAATCCCAGCGTTTGGAAAGCAGGTGAATTTCTGTGGGCTCGGGTTTGTCTGGGTTACGTAGTGAGTCCCAGGACAGCCAGAACTGTATAATCAGACGGTGTCTCAAAAACAAACATACAAACAAATAAACAAACCCAAAATTAATCAATTAATTAACAAGTGCAAACCCCACCACTAAGGAAACGATTAAGAATCACATGTTGTTATTTTAATATATATTATTTTCTATATAAAGGATATTATATGAAGCAATTTAGTATGTATTTAGTATATATTTAATACAAATATTAAGCTTCTAATCAGTATTCATTTCTCACAAGTTGTTTTTAAATTACTTTGCTTTCGATGCTCACATACAAATGGTTATTTTGTATATTATTTTTAGTTGCAAAACTCAATAACCTATAGAAAATAAATTTTAAAGTAGGATCCTCATATGGTCCAAGCCTGCTTCAATTTCCCCACATATGCTTTCAAAACGTTATCATGAGCTCTGTATGTGTCTCAGGCAAAGGCGTGAACTAGCTGACCTCTGCATCCCCCTAGAGCCATGGTTCTCAACCTTACTGATGCTGTGACCCTTTAATACAGTTCTTCATGTTGTAGTGACCCCCAGGCATAAAATTATTCTTGTTGCTACTTCATAATTATAAATTTGCTACTGTTATGAATTGTAGTGTAAATATTTGATGTGCAAGATATTTTATATTTGACCCCTGTGAAAGAATTAGTCAATTCCCAAAAGCATTGTGACCCACAGGTTGAGAACCACTGCCCAGCATGTTGGAAATCTCTAAGGAGGCATGCTTTATAAAAGGACATACATTCACCCATATCTTCCAATATATGGCCATTTTTTTCCACAGTCCCCTTGACTGTAGGAAGGCAAGTATGGAGTTGTCCTCTTCCTCACTCCCAGATTCACCATGCAGGAAGCTAGCATCTTTAATCCCACCCTGGTACCAACTATGATACATGAGTTTTGCTTATGTTACAATGACGAAGTATATGTTTTGTTAAACAACAAAAGTCTTCTGAGGAATTACTTCAAAACATAGCCAAGAAGTTTGTTCATCGGATAATTTGTTTACTGACAATTTTGTGTGTTGTTTTGCTGACAGGGATTTCACCTGTTGAAATATCTCAAGCCTCCCTGAGCACATACAATGACCAATCTGTTAGTTTCAAAGTTTTGAAGGACGGACGCTATGTGATCAACGTTGAAGACTCTGGAGAGTTCGAAGGAAACGGTAGACAATTCAAGACTATTTCTTCATGTCTATATTTAGTAATGATGATTGGCAAGGTTAAAAAAAAATCTACCAAATTATCCACAATGGATGAACTGAGATATTCAACAGCAATGGGCTTCATCATCTCTACTAATTCCAGTCCTTCCCGTGTTAAGAAGGATTCAGCATAGTCAGGTTCTTTGGGGAAGAATACAGATGTTGAGAAACAACTATTGAGAAATATGGACAGAGAAGCCACATGTGTTTATTAATGCTGAGTACTCACTAGATCTTTCCAACATTTTCAGTGTCACCATAGCATAAGTCATTTGTGAAAGAATATTTCTCTGCCATAAACAATAACAGCCATATTAGGGAACTCATCAGAGCATAATAATATATTTTGAGATTTTTGTAAGAACTTTCCAAGTTTTGCTTTTATTGGTATATGACAAGGTTTAGGGCAAGGTTTTCTGGCCCTGTGTATGATGGAACTGAAACCTTCAGACACAGTTGCCTCTCACCAAGTGATACCCTGATGTCTTTCAGACAAGATGCTGCTACGTTACTATGAGTCTTCGCGGTCCTCAAGTGAATCAGGTAATGTGGAGGCGGGGTGGAGGTGTTGCTTGAATTCTCATTCAGAACAAAGATGAATCTAAAAATAGCCCATAATAAAGAGAGGCTCAAAAGATTATCTTCAACCCCATGCTCACTGTAATGTAAGATCTTAGTTTCTCAGAGTACTTATTCCACCTCATCTCTTTCTGAATTAATAGGATAAAGGCTTAGGTACATATAGTACTTATAATAATACAGCCCTCCTCGAACATAGCTAGAAAGATTGTGCTCAAAGGTTGTCCAAAGGCAGTTCCTTCTATATCATTAATCTGTCCATGTTGAATGCCTCATCATTATGCCCAATCAGCAAGAGAGAGGAAGACGGGTGAATACATTCCTTTTCCCTTTGAGGGCACAGCTTGAAGCTACACATCACATATATGCTCATCTTCAGTTGGTCAGAACTTAGCCTAAAAGCAACACTAAGCCATGAGAACACAGGCAGGGAAATGACAGCTATTAAAAGACAACTCAGTGGCTTCACATGCACACAGGGAAGCTGATGTTCACAGCAGTGTCCACTGGAATCAATTCAATTAGAATAGATCAAAGCAACAACAGAAATTAAAAACCTAAGCTCCTCCTCTGAGGAATTAAAAAGACCCTTGGGTCAGGCTTGGTGACACACACCTTTAATCCCAGCACTCAGGAGGCAGAGGCATGCCGATCTCTAAATTCGAGACCATCCTGATCTGCAGAAAAAGTTCCAGGATAGCCAGAGCTGTTAAACAAAGAAACCTTGTCTCAAAAAAAAAAGAATAAGAAAAGAAGGAGGAGGAGAAGGAAAGAAGGGAAGGGAAGGGAAGGGAAGGGAAGGGAGGGAAGGAAAGGAAAGGAAAGGGAAGGGAGGAAGAAAGGAAGGAAGGAAGGAAGGAAGGAAGGAAGGAAGGAAGGAAAGAAGGAAGGAAGGAAGAAAATTAATAAACTATTTTCCTGGATTCTTTGGGTTAAGTTAAATTAAGATGACTTACAAGACTTAGGATTTTTTTTAACTTATAATCTGTTTTGTTCTTTTTAATTGACGGGTAAAATTGTATTAATCATGTACAATAGGAGACTTTTTTAAAAATTATTTTTATTTTACATGTATGCATGTAAGTATACCATATATGTTCAATACTTGAGGAAGCCAGCAGACAGCAATGACCCTTTTGTAAGTGAGCCACTCTATGGGTTCTGGAAACTGAATCCAGGTCCTCTGCAAGAGCATCAGGTGCTCTTAACCACAGAAGCATCTCTCCGGCCCCCACCAGGAGCTTTTGAAGTAGCTGTTGTCTATCTTGTGGAATGGTAGAATGTAGCCAAATGGCAAATGCATTGCCTCACATGCTGTTGTTTTTCATTGTAAGGTGATGGTGTGGATGGGAAGTTGCTGATGGTGGACATGAGTCCTGTGAAAGACACAGACATCAGGCTGCACGCCAATGAGCAGAACCACTGTGTGAAGGTAACAGAACTATAGCTGGGTAACTGCTGTGCATTCATTCTGTTTATGTGTAGTCAGATGTTAGGGGAATTTTGAAGACAGAATTGTGTGCATATTATTGTAAAGGAAGCACAGCCGGTCACTTCTAAAGGCTTGCTTGGAAGGGAGGGAAGGAGAGAAGTGTGATGTGTGGCCTTGTACCACAAGTCTGGTCTCCAATAATAGCAGGGAATACTGGGGAACTTGCTAGAAAGCAGGATTTCAGACTCCCCCGCAACGGAATCAGAACTAACGTCCGAACAGTCCCTCGGGAGCTTCATCACATCGCTCCAGCTTGAGAGACAACACAGAATGACCTCACATCCTTTCCGTTTGCCTGTGCTCTTCCAGAACTTGGTTTCTGTGTGAATAATAACTTCTGGCTCCAAGTCTGTCAAGGAGAGGACTGCAAGCGTGTCCATACATCGCCAGTTATTAACAACACAAAATGCTGCATCTGATCCATTCTTACTTACTCAATGGCAGGTGTCCATTGGTCATGACAAAAAATTATGAGCAGGTCAAAGAGCAAAGGAGTCAGAGTAAGAAGTTAGAAAGAAAACAGAACAGCATAATAAAGAAGACAATTTCTATAAACAGACAAAACTGAAGTGATTCACTCATCACATAAACATAACATCAGCACAAACAGTGGTCAACATTCTGCTCCAGAGAATATTCTCAAGTGTATATAATGCAAGCTCTAGCATATATAATAGGAAATAAAAGCAGAATGCCATGGCATATCAAATCCTTGCTTAATGCCCCACCAGCCCTGCCTCTTTTAATCCTCAAAGCAAGTTCATAATGGAATAATTGCACTGGTCAGCTATTGCTGTTGTGCAACAAACTGTCTCAAAACTCAATGGATTAAAATAATAGTTGTTCATAGGCCCATAGTGATTGAGAGCTTATACTGACGACTTGAGTTGGATCCCCAGTATTTACTGTCAGGTGACTAACAACCACCTGTAACTCCAGCACCAAGATGGTCAAATGCCTCTGCCCCTCATGGGCATCTACATTTATGTGCACATACCCACACAGAGATGTACCCATGTCTATAATTTAAAATAAGATAAACCATTAAAGATAACATAAATAATAAGCATAATTTGTCTGCCATTCATGATTTAACCAAAGAATTTAATCAAATTAAAATTAAATAAAAATACGCCTGTATTTAAAGTGGAAATGAACCAATCTGTAGGGAGTGCTGGCTCTACTGAAAAGTCAAGGTTTGCTAGATAAAGCAGCATGTTCTTTGTATTAGAGACGATGCATGGCAGAAGAGCAGCACAAATCCAGATGCATTTTCTCAATGCATCAGCCCCCTGTCAATCACTTCCACGGGTGCCACACACATCCTTTGCCCTCTGCCATTCCCCCTCCCTCCTCAACTCAGTAAACAGACCTGCTAGACAGACCAAGCTGTAAATGACTATTCTCCCATGGGTTCTAACCTAGGAAGCAGCATTCACCCTGGACTTCCCATTCACATATTGGCTTTTTCTCTCCTTTCCTCAGCTTGAAAAGTGTCAAGCTCCCCTGCCACCAGCGGTCTTTTTCATCGTTCACGAAAAGGCCTCCAACTATGTTTCATTTGAATGCACGAATCAGCCTGGGACATACATAGGAGTAAAGGATAACCAGCTGGCTCTATTAGAAGGAGAGAAAAATAACGATGAAAATATTATGTTTAAGCTTTCTAAACAAGAAGAGGGTGGGTCCAGGGTTGAATGACTCAATGTTACCACCAAAGAAAGGATGAGAGAAAGCAATCGACATCTAAGGGGATGGCTTAAGATGCTGTGGAATGTTATCTTTTTATCTTTTTATATATAAAATTCTTTTCTTTTTCTCTGCACCACTACACATTCAATCAAAACATGCATATATAGCACAGGGCATTGGTGAAGAAACTGAACAACATTCAGCCTTGGCTTTTACCTTTGTCTGCTTTGAGTCCTGAATGAATTCACACTTCCAGATTTCTTCAGATGAGCGAGCACCATAGCTCATGCTATGCTTTAGACGAGGGTTCATTTTAAAAGCCTTAAAAAGAATACATGGTTTCTCCCTGGTTCTAAAGAAAAGGTTGAAGTCCTAAAGCAGCTGGTGGAGGGCCAGCTGCCGCACAGACTGACCATATCTCAAATAGACCAAAGCACCAAATGTATTGGCAGCTGCCCCCGGGGCACCCCTCAGACCAGCTCTTTCTGTCAAGAAACCTAGTGCTCCAAATGCCTACCTGCCTAGACAGGTTAAGATAAATCTGTGAAAACACAGGATAACTGAAAAAATAAAGAAAAAGAAAGCCAGTATTTGTAAAGTGGAATAATGTTACCTCTACTTCTTTCCTTGGGGCATGGGGTTGGGGACAGGGTTTCTCTGTGTAGTCCTGGCTGTCCTGGAACTTGCTTTGTAGATCAGGCTGGCCTCGAACTCACAGAGATCCGCCTGCCTCTGCCTCCCAAGTGCTGGGATTAAAGGTGTGCGCCACCACCGCCCAGCTCTTTGTTCCCTTTTGAAAATCCTGATCTCTTTTTAAGGTAACAGTTTAAGTTTAAGCAATAGTAATCTTACATTAAAAACTGGAACACATTTTAGTTCACAACTGTGGCTGAAATCATTGGCTCTCTTTAATAAACTTAAACTCTTCTGTGAGTACTGACCAGGCCGTGTATTAGGGCATCCACGTAGGATGGGACCTCAAAAGGCAGTCAGAAGTCCTCCTACTAGGAAGACACCGAACGAACTTCACATTCTCAATAGCTGGCTGTGGCCTGTGTTTATGACATGCTATGTCTTTAAATAACTGGCTATGGCCTGTGGTTTGTGGCACGCTGTGTCCTCACCTGTTTCCAAAGAGCTATCACTATGAATGTGTGCATCAACTTGGAAGGAATCTCTCTATGGCTTGCTTTTCTTACACACAAATTCTTTTGTTGCTTGGGTTCACTGGGGGATATGTTAGCTTAACTTTCTCCCTTTCTCTGGTTCTTTTGACCAATGTATCTTTAACATATCTCCTATTCCCTAAACTTCATTTTTGTTTTCTCTAATGCCTACGTACTAACACTTTTATTCTGTTTTTTTTACTTTACACTCTAGAATTTTATATGTACTGACAAGTCACAAAGTTGTTTACTAAACGTTTTGTGTGTTTTACTGTTACTGAAGTAGTGAGATTTATATTCAACCATACAGTAATGTTTTAAGATATTAAAGGAATAGCTGGCTTATTTAGACAATAGCAATTTCTACTACATTTTTATTGGCTTAAAATTTACAGTAAATACAAAAAATAATAACAGAAAACATTCTTCTAAAAGTACAAGCTTTTAATTTTCAATTGATGAAAGCTATTATATGTAATACCTGGTTGGATGTATGAAAAGAGGCTGGGGATTGCTGTATATGATTATACAATTATAGCATGATATAACTGTTTCATTAATTTTCACTGTTTTACTATAGAGACAAAAGTGAAACCAGAATCCATGTCATCTCCCTGGAAACCTCGATGTTAACTATATAAATTTGTACAATATACTTAAAATAATAATTAAGTAGTCAAATATGTCCATGACATTGTTTATAACCTTGAATAAACTATTTATCAAAATCACGTGTGACCATGACTTTATCACAGAATGCTCCAATGTTCTGAGTCTTAAATGAAAATGGGCCCACTCCAGTTCGTCACTATTCACAATGAGAATGAACATACTTTAGTCCATCACTATTGACAAGGGAACTGAGCAGGTTGTTTCACAACTCAGGGTATTTAAAACTCAAATTTCCCAACAAAGGGATTATGTCTGCTTTGCTTCATCATCCTAGTGTCCACTGTGGTAGACCTCCTCCCCTCCCCCAAGTGACTTTTGACTTTTGCTCCAGCCCAAACACACACCCACCAGTTCCTGCCTCAGAAATTAACCTAAAATTTCTGACTCCTTACTCAGGTGTCTTTCTCTCCGTTGTCTGATTTTCTGTTTTGTTTTCATTTAAAAGATATTTTCAGAGCGGAGGAGACTTTTAAGTAAGCGAGAGGAACAGAGTCCAGACCTTAAGCACCCACATGGAAGCCAAGATGACTAAACCCCAGTGCTAGGAGAGGGGTAGAGACAGGCTCAGCCTAGAGTGCTGCCGGCCAGCTGGCGTAGCCAAATGGATACGCTCCCGATGCTGAGACTGTTTCAAATACAGAGGAGCAATAGAGGAGGAAACCTGATGGTGACACATGCACACATCTCACACACATACATATTTTCCACATTATTACAATCAGTGTTTCACGCTTAAAATACTCAAATGTGTACTGACATTTTGTCTTACTTGCATTGCTTTGATGGCTCTTAATACATGTTACTGGAAGTAATTTGTCCATTCAATTATATCAGAAATGATAATTTTATTTGATAGTTTTCTCAAAATTTACAGTTGAGTAATTTTATTTGTATTCTTTATGTTTCTGTGTATTTGGGGTATTTTTGTTTTTCGATTATAACTTTTTCTTTCCCCTCCCGAACTCCTCTCAGATTCTCCCCTACCTCCCTACACTCCACTTTCTGTTTTCCTTGCTCCCTTTCTCTAAAAAAAAAAAATGAATCAACAAAACAACAACAACAACAAGAAAATGAAAACAGACAAACTAAGAGAAGAAGCTAGGGCAAAAAAAAACTGCCGAAACCAAACCAAAGCGAACATAAAAGCATAGTGTCTATTATGTGTTGCTCCCGCTACTCCTGGGCATGGGTCCTGCCCTGGAGTGTGATTGACATATCCAGTGACACTCCACTGAGGGAAAAACTGATTGTCCCTTTCCCAGCAAGTATCAATTATGAATAGCATCTTGGTTAGAGGTGGCACTTTATATCCACTTCCCCTCTAAATGCTGGGATTCTGTCTGGGTTGAACCAGAGCAAGTCTGGGACATGCTGTCACCATCTCTGTGGGTTCATATGCCTATCAGCACTGTCGTGTCTGGAAGACAGTTTCCTTGGAGTCATCCACCACCTCTGGCTTTTACAATCTTTCTCTCTCCTCTTCCACATAGATCCCTAGCCCTTGAGGGGAAAAGTTTGATAAAGACACCCCATTTAGGGCTAAGTGCTCCAAAGTCTCCCACTCTGCATGCTGTCTTACTATGGATCTCTTTGTTAATTCCCATTTACTTGCAAGAAGATGCTTCTCTGATGAAGGCTAAATGATATTCTACTCTATGGGTATAGCAATATGTCATTAAGAATAATTTTATTGCTATGTTCCCTTAGCAGAAAATAGTAGGTTTTTCCCTAGGCCTATGATCTCTCTATTCTTAGGTCTTTGGCCACCTTAGCAGTATCAGGGCTGGGTTCCATCTCATGGAGCCTGCCTTAAATCAAATTTGAAAAAAAAAACCGGTTGGTTGCTCCATAACATTTGTGCCACTATTGTACCAGTACATCTTGCAGGTAGGTAAAGCACTGGGTGAAACTTGATAATTATTTTCCTCCTCTAGTCTGTAAAGTACCTTCCAGAACCATGAGTACTTGACAGTTGTTGCAGGGAGAAAAGGCCTACTTGTTCATCCTGGCTGCCCAGCTAGTTCAGCCCCTAAACAACCACACAGAAACTGTATTAATTAAATCACTGCTTGGCCCATTAGCTCTAGTTACCTATTGGCTATTTTTTTTTAAATTTTTACTTATTTATTTATTAAAAATTTCTACCTCCTTCCATCCTCCCATTTCCCTCCCCCTCCCCCCTCCCTCTACAGTCCTAAGAGAAGTCAGGGTGCCCTGCCCTGTGGAAAGTCCAAGGCCCCCCTCCAGCCAGGTCTAGGAAGGTGTGCATCCAAACAGACTAGGCTCCCACAAAGCCAGCACATGCAGTAAAATCAAAATCTGGTGTCATTATCATTGGCTTCTCAGTCTGCCCTCATTGTCACCCACATTCAGAGAGTCCAATTTGATCACTTACATCTTAATTTAACCAAGTTTTATTAATTTGTGTAACACCACGTGGCAGTGGCTTACCAGGTGAAATTCCTAGCATCTGTCTTTGGTGGATCCATGGCGTCTCTCTGACTCTGCTTTCTTCCTCCGAGAATTCAGTTCCATCTTTCCCACTTACCTAAGGTCTGTCCTATCAACAGGCCAGGACAGTTTCTTTATTCATTAACCAACGAAAGCGCACATGAACAGAAGGACCTAGACAGTAGGGGTGAAACTTTCAGTTAGGCACCAGCTGAATTTTTCCACTGATGACATAAAGAAACTGTGTCTTCAGTAGTAGGGTCTTACTCTCGGGTTATAGAGAGTAACCAATAGCCTTAGCAATAGCTTCTGATGTTTGGGAGTAACCTATGGAACACCTTTGGTCAACAGCTCAGCAAGATTTAACTCATTCTTGTCAGTGGAGGCTTTATTTGGTGGTATAAGATGTCTTCTTGGGACACTGTCTACCTCATGATATTATGACTCCATTTAAAATTCCTCCCCACTGGTCCCTTCTGAGGTACCTAGCTTCTGTGGTTATTCCTATTGAAACACACATATGAAAGATCCTGTCTCCAAAAACAAGCTGTGATTCGTGAAGAACAATACTTGAGGTTGATCTCTGACCTCTGTGCACAATGCACACACATGAATACCAGCATGCATACAAATATGTGCATACACATACAGAGACAAAAGTCATAAAAACTTACTGTTGTCTATGCTCACTAAAAATTAATGAAAAAAATAATGTGTTAAAACAAAGCTATGCTGCCACTATTTAAAAACTTCTAAGAAATTTAGTCTTGGTCTTAGGTTGCTGTTGATAAACTGATCTGTTTTGTTCAACTGTTTATTATGTAAACAGATAATAAACTATGCAGATAATAAACTAACAGGGCTAATGACACCTTTGACTTGCCCCATTCCTATGACTCCGCAGTAGGTCCTCTCTTTTCCTCTGTGTGATTCTTGGAAGGAACAAATTTGGCAAGCTTTGAATAATTGTCAAGGTACACTGGGCCTAACCCTTAACACAAAGCTAAATCCTTAGCTTGACTGTGATTCTGCAGAATCTGTCATTTGTCACCCAAGTCACTTCCTCTACTTCTGGAGAAATTCTGCCTAAGCCACAACCAGTAAAGGTCAACTTTGAGGATCATATTTGTCACTGATTTTTTTTAAGGTATCATGTCTTTAAGGAAAATTACCAGCAAAGGCCATGAATCCTGACCGCACTCACCACCCTCTCCCCTTGGTTGTGCACCTGTCTGTCAGCAGGACAGGGTGCTGCCTCATCCTCGCCAGAAGGCATTTCTCTCTCACCCTGAGGTGATCACACTTATCATTTTATCCTTAGGACTCAGCAGAACATAAGAATGCAGTAAACAGTCCAAATGTATCTGTTTAAGAAGTATGGTGATATATAAACAAAATAAATCTATCCTCAGTGTATGTAGCAGCAATTTTTGGAACCAGTGTTTCTGTACATAAGAATCTAATTTAAGCATCTATTGCAAAACCATAACAAAGCTGCAGTTTAAGATGCTTTCCTGAAGCTCAGCTAATTATCAAATGCCCTGAGGTATAAACTGTGCTCTCATCCTATTATTATTTATTATTTCTATCTTTTCCAGAAACACAAGGAAAGCATTAACAGTTTGGTTAAATGCATGGGTGAAATGGTCCTGCTCTGGAATAAAGTATCTCAGAGCCTTGGTTCACATTTGGATCATGACTGACGTTCTTCTCCTCCTCCTCTTCTTCTTCGTGTGTTTGTTATTTGCTTATGCATTCATGTGTGTGCATGTGAGCACATACATATGGAGGTCAGAGGTCACCATGAGGTGTCCTTCTCAACCACTCTCTGCATTTTGGGGAACAGAACCTCTTACTGAACCTGGAGCTCATTAACTGGGTAGGCTGATCAGTGAGGTCCCAGGGGTCCACTTCCCCCCTCCCCCACTCCCGGTTAACAAATTTACACCATCATGCCTATCTTTTCATGTCAATGCTGGGGACCCAAGCTCAGGTCCTCATGCTTGTGTGGCAGATCTACCTACCAGCAGGTAACTAACTCCAGCTCCTGTTTCCTTTTTCACCTTTAAGGAGCCTCTGAAGCCCCTCACCCTGACCAGGCTCCACTGCACCGCATCTAGAGCTGTGACATCCCTTTGAGTCCTTCAGGAAACCCCTGTCTTGAAGAATTCATTTGAGACAACGTCTAAGACACTCCCGTTCAGGCGGACAACAGAAACAACCACATGTATCAGGCAAGAGGGGGTGACACGGATGACCCCTTCCCTCCAGTCTGTCTCCATGTCATAAGAGAATCTGTGGAAATTCAGTTAATCTACTTTTTTTCAGGTGTATTTATTTTATGTATATGGGTGTTCTGCGGTGTGCATGCATGTACACCATGTGCCTGCCCAGTGCCTGTAAAGGCCAGAAAAAAAGCATCAAATTTCCTGGAGTTGGAGCTGCAGGTGGTTGTGAGTCATCATGTGGGTGCTGGAAACAAACCCCAGGTCCTCGGTAAAAGCAGTGAATGCTCTTAACTGCTGGGCCGTCTCCCCAGCCCTTCTGTTCGTTTTCTTAGTAACTGTCCTGATCCTTCGTTCCTCTGAGGCATCAAGGACCCCACGGG